TTTCCTGACCCCACCACATGGCCAATATGACTGCTCTAGATGCTCTTAGGGACCCACCTTAATCTCTTTTTCCACTTAGGGCACCCATCACACAGCTGTTGTGAATGTTGGCCGATGATAATTCACAGCGAACTTTGGTCTCCTTTGACAGATCCACTTACACCGAGTAAGAGCTGCCTTTTCAGAGGCAACAGTCCTTAATAGTCTCAGGACAAAAAATGGCCAGGTGAGTTAAAAAAGTTGACCCTTATCTGAGGTCAAGACTAACCATTGGTGCAATTTGTGCTCTTTGAGTTTTTCAATGGGATCGTATTGAAACTGGTCTCCACCAGACGCCACATTCTTGCTCTCCTCATTCCCACTGTCTCCTGCTCTGCTTGTTGGGAAACAAACCTAAGAAATTCAAAATCTAGTATTTTATATTAACATTTTTGGGCATAAAAGTCTCCAATTAATTCCAAACTCTTCACTGTTGCCTACAAAATACTACTTTAGAGGATACCTGCCTGCCACCAACTTTATATCCTTTCAAACAGTTAAGGAAGATCCTTCTCTCTGTTTGCTCTTGCTGTTTCTTCAGTCTATAATGCTCTCTCTACGTTATTTTAAAGTCAATTTGTCATGTTCATATTTCAGCACTGCATCATCTTCTCATAGAAGACATTTTGACCACTTTCTATAAATTTGTCCTTTACCATCCCTTCTTCAGTAATTCCATTAAGTTAGCATTTTGTATTTTTCAGACAATTTGTTGCCATTATATTAATTATGCATTTATATTTTATTATGTCTCCTCATCCATGTTGGAATTGGTATTAGCAGACAATAAACTTTTATTGGATTAATCTTTTGAGGTTTCATGTTTTACTTTTGCTCTCATTCATCATCTTGACTAAAAACACAACATCAAAGTAGGTATACTTGTCTTCAGAAACTTCGTAATATCCTAAAAAGGGAAGTAAGGAAATATGAGTGTATTAGTTCTCTGCTCTTCTCTGTTAATTCTCTAAAACCAGCAGCATAAAACAATAAACACTGATCACCTCATAGTTTTTGAGGGTCAGGAATCTGGGCAGCCTCGCTGGGTGTTTCTGCTTCAGTGTCACTCCTTATGCTTCAGTCAGGTTGTTGGTGGGCGCAGTAGTCATCTCAATGTTCAGTGAGGAGGCTTTGTTTCCCAAATAACTGACAGTGTTGGGCAGGTCTCAGGAATGTCCTGACATCTTAAGGAGAGGTGCTATGGGACCTCCTTCAGAATTCATATGGTGTCCACAATGGTGGTTCCTCTCAGAGAGGG